CCTTCTCCTCCTCTTCCTCCTTCTCCTCCTCTTATCCCTCCCTCCTCCTCCCCCTCCCTCTTCCCTCCTATTCCTTGTCCCGCCACCTCCCTCCACGCCCTTCTCTTCCGCCGCTCCATGCTCCCCCGCCTCGTTCTTGTCCCCCCGAAAGGGGGGCTCTGCGACTATATTATGACGGCGAAGTGGTACAAGGCACTGCGGGGGTTGCAGGACATAGACGGGTCCCTCCGCTTCAGCCTCGACTTGTATGAACACGCAGTTCACAAGGTGATCGGGACGAGATGGGGAGGAGGAGGAGGAGGAGGAGGAGGAGGAGAAGGAGAAGGAGGAGGACGAGGAGGGGGAGGAGGAGGACAAGGGGGAGGCGGAGAGGGGTGGGGAGGCGGAGAAGGGGAAGGAAGAGGATGGGCATGAGGAGGCGAAGAGGGAGAAGGCGGAGGAGGAGAAGGGGGGGGATGAGAATGAGGAGGAGGAGGAGGAGAAGGGGAAGGGGGAGAAGGCGGAGAGGGAAGACAATGCGGATCAGGATATGGAAGGGTGAGGAGATACCGATGTCGAATGTACGGAGTGTGATGCTGCTGATGGCGATGAGAAGCGTGATGATGATGCGGATGAGGATGATGATGTCGACGCTGCTGCTGTTGATGATGCTGATGTTGTTGATGATGACCATGCTGATGACGGTACTGCTGATGATGGTGATGCTGCTAATGATGATGCTGTTTGTGCTGATGATGCGGATGAGGACGGGGCTGATGAGGATGATGCTGATGTTGATGATGATGGTGCTGATGATGCGCACGCTGCTGCTGATGATGATGAAGATGATGATGATGCTGATGATGATGCAGGTGATGGTGATGATGATAATGTTGTTGTTGTTGATGATGATGATGATGATGCTGATGACGAGTCTGGAGGTGGTGGTGATGCGGGGGAAGGTGATGAGGCGCAAAAGCGTGGAGCTAGCTCCACCCTTTTGCACATCATCATCTTCCCTGGTCGATTGCGGCGGTGGGGGTGAGGAGGAGGGGCGGGTGCGAGTCCCAAGGTCATTGGCCACATGGGCGGCATCACACCAACGCTGGTGTGCGCCGAGGCGAAGAAAATACAGAACCTGGTCGCGGCGTGGCGCCGCGTCGTGAGGCGATCGGGGCGAGGGGGGAATGACGGGGGGAGGAGGGGAAGAATGAGGATCAGCACATGGTGGACGAAGAAGGGACGATGGAGGACGAGAAGAACGAGGATGACCCGCTGCTGCTGTCGTCGTCGCCGTCGCCGTCGTCGTCGTCGTCGTAGTCGTGGTCGTCGTCCTCGTCGTCGTTCGTTTTCGCCGCCTCCCTCCATCTGACCTCTTCCAGGTGGGTTGTTCGCTCGCCCCCCACCCTCCTCGCCCGCGCACGCCCTCCCACTCCCGAGGAGGGCGATGCTGGGAGTAAGGATGATGAGGAAGAAGATGAGGATGAGGAGAGCGCGGGGAGGATGCTGGCATGGTAACAGGAGGATGCTGCAGATGAGTACGGGGATGAGGACGCGGAGCAAGGGGAGGAATCGGAGTAACATCTGGAGGGGGGCACGCAGTGCCCGCCCGAGGCTGCAGTACCACATCCCCGCAGCGCTCAAGCACGCGATGACGAAGCAGGCCGCTGGCAACGAGCAGCACCGAGAGGAGGCCGACGATGAAGATGCGAACGAAAAGGAAATCACGCTGGGCGGCCTCAGCTCCGACGATGACGACAGCCTCGTGAGCGTGCACAGCGATGGCGCCGACCCCCCAGGCTCGGCGTGGAGGAGCTTGAGGAGGAGGAGGAGGAGGAGGAGAAGGAGGAGGAAAAGGATTGGACAGGAAGGAAAGGTAATGGGTGGGTGGGGGCAGGAGAGGGAGAAGGGCGATGCGGAACATGATGATGAGGCGGATGCGGCGGGGGAGAAGGATCGAAGAGGAAAGGCAACTTGCATGGCGTGATGGGCGCCTCGCTTGAGGCTGTAGGGGGGGGGGGGGGCTCCCTGGAGCCATCTTGGGCCGTCTCATGGGCATCGTCGGACGTCGTCGGCCATCCGCTACGCGGGGCCCGTCCCAATCATGTGCCCCATGACCCATATCAGTCCCATGAGCCGTATGAGCTCTACGAGCCCTACGAGTCCTATGAGACCTATGAGGCCTATGAGCCCTATATGCCGTGTGAGCCATGTGAGCCCTGTCCGTATGAGCCATCTGAGTCCTACGAGCCCTATAGGCCATCAAAGCCCTGCGAGCCCTAAGAGCAGCTGGGCCCTATGAGCCCTCGAAGCCTGAGCTCTCGGAGCCCTATGCCCGAAGGGCAGCGAGCTTCAAGCCTTGTAGTTGTGTAAACATACACACACTAACGATGATTACGTGTGTGCTCAGAGGGCTTATCGTGCTCATGGGGCTCATAGGGCCTAGAGGGTTCAGAGGGCACTTGGGGCTCGTAGGGGCCATAGGGGTCATAGAGCTCATATGGCTTATAGGGCTTACATGGCTCGTAGGGCGCTACGCATAGGGCTCATAGGGCCCCTAGGGCCCATAAGGCCGAGAGGGCGCATGGGGCGTATAGGGCGCATAGGGCTCGAAGGCTCATAGGGTCCGTCGGGCTCACAGGGCTCGTAGGTGTCATGGGGTTCGTAGGGCTCATAGAACGCAAAGGACTCACATGGCTTATAAGGCCCACAGGGCCCGTAGGGCTCATAGGGCACATAGGACTCATAGGGCTCAGAGGGCTCATAAGCTCACAGGGCTCGTAGGGATCAGAAGCGTATGTAACAACACTCTAGGTTTTACCAAACAGCACGATGTTTGCCCCTTGGGGGCTCATTTGGGGGCCGCTCGAGGTGTCTGAGGGGCGTATTGGACGGGTTTGAACTCACTTTGGGCCCCTTGAGAGCGTTCGTGAGCCGTTCGCTGGCGGGTCTTGGGCTGTCTCGGAGCGTTTGGGGACCGTCCAAGAAGCGTTAGTGGGACTCGATCGGGCGGTGTCAGGAAGCGAGTTTGGGACCTATGTTTGTATATAAGCCGCAGGCGGTGTCGAGCCGCTGACGGACGCCCAGCAGCCGACCCACGCCCGCCGCTTGGCCGAGAAGTGCGACGAGGAGATGACAGAGGCGCGCCCCCCGCCCGCTCCGCACCACCCTCCGCCCCTCCCCCATTCCTGCCTCAAGAACTGGCAGATCTGCCCGCTCTTCAGGTCTTCTCCTCGGTCTAACCCCACTTGTCCTCAGCCCCCTTTCTCGGCAGCATCCTTCCTCTGATCGCCCTCATGTCTTCTCTTACCTCCCCATCCGCACATTCGAACGTCGATGGATGGGGGGGGGGGGGGGGCGGGGTGGCGGGTGGCGCGAGATTGGTTCCATCGATCTCGTCTGCCCCCTCGTCGAGCTGCTTATCCTCCTTATCCTCATGCTTCGCGGGTTCCTCCTCGGACGATGTGGCGAGCTCGCCCACCCACATTCCACGCCTCAATGTTGCTTATTGCTGCCATGCCAAATAATGTTGCCTGCCACCGCCTGAACGTCTCAGCCCGTTTCGCCCGAAATCTCCCGACCAACGTTTCGAAGATCCCATTGCGCTTCCTGGCCAGGCACTCATTGAGCCCGCTCGACTCATCCTGCGGTCCCTCCCCCGCTTCTCTGCAAGTCGCGGTATCCTGTGCGGGGTGCAGTGTGTCCTATTCATAATTGCTTTGCTACTCCTCCTGTTCCTCATACTTCAGCTCCTAGTCAAACTCCTACTTCTAACTCTTAGCCCCTTGCGGTAGGATGATGATGATGAGGAGGAGGAGGAGGAGGAGGGGGAGAGGGACAAGGCTGAGGGTGCGCTCCTTGTCTTCATTCCTCTTCCTACAGACCTCTGGGGAACTTCCCGTACCGCGATGCTTCAGGATGATAAGTATACACCAGCATCATCCCCACCAGCATCACGACCATGAACATACATCACCATCAGCATCAACGACATCATCATCAGTTTTTCATAAACAACAGCATCATCATCACCATCAGCATCAGCAGCATCAGCAACACTATCACCATCGGCCCCATCATCAAAGTCACCATTATCACCGTCACTATCACCATCACCATTGGAGCTCCACCGAAGGCCCCAGTGGCGGCATTCGCATGCGCCTCCCCCGCATACTTCGGCACAGCTCTCACGCGCATCGTGGCGCCATGGGGCATTGTCGGCACGCCCCTCGCACGTTTCGTGGCTACACATGTGCAAACGTGTTCGTTGATGGTGGGGGCGCGGGTGGCGCGCTTGTTTCGTGCTCTGTGTAGGACCAATGATGCGAGCGTGCTCGCTCTGTCGCGTTCGATGCCTTTGTAAGGCCCCAGGGTGGGCCCCATGTGGCCCTAGTGACCGTCCCCCCTCCATCCTCAGAGCCAAAACGTTGCACCGCCCAGGGAAGAGCTTATGGTTAAAACAACGACGGCGATGATAATGACTTGTAGCTACCTGGCGAGGACGGGGGAACTGACGCGTGCGATGACGGGGGCGATGGCGAAATGTCGAGGATCGCGATCAAGATGATAATAGAGCATCGGGGGGCGATGGCGAGGCAGGAGAAGGAGAAGGAGGAGGAGAAGGAGAGATACGGAGGACGACGATAATGAGGATATGTAAGACAATGCGTCCACCCACCAACTGCTGGTGTTCCTTAAGCAGTCAGGTGGCAGATGTTGCAATTGTGTCGGTGTCCGGTTGGGGTTATGGTGAGGTTCTCTTGGTCCTACTAGCTGTGGCCTTTTCGGTGGGCGCCTGTGCCCTCTTGGGACCATCATGGGGGCTCGGTGGGTATCGGTGCCCTGTTAGGGCCTCTGGGGGGCTCTTAGAGACTCGGAAGGGCTTTTGGATGGCGTCCTTCTCCTTGTCATCCTCGTCAGTATGCCTTCTCCCACTCTCCTTGTCCTCATGCCCGACGTTGGGATAGTGTTATTCGCGTTGAGAGGCGTGTGCGCGCCTGCTTCCGTCTCGCCCTGGCCAGGCGAATCGGTGCCGCAAGAACATCGCCGCCCGCCTGGCCAAGATGCAGTCTGCCGATGACGAGAGCGACGACGGTGACCAATACGTGCTCGTGAAAGGTTGGGCGTTCAGGGTTCCAGACAGCTGCCCCGCCGCCTCGGTGGTCAGCAGCAAGATTGGGGCTGCGGTGTACGTGTGGGGCGACGGCGACAGATGGATGAGCGACCAGCTGTACACAGAGGCGGCCAGGTGCGACCCCAACATCAAAAAAGCGCCCGAGGTTGCGCCCGAGGTGCCAGCGGCGGCCGCCTCAGCCAAGGAGGGCGCGGCGGCCAAGAGCGCGGCGGCCGGCCCGCAGACGGCCAAGGAGGGCGCGGCGGCCAGCCCGATGGCAGCCAAGGAGGGCGCGGCGGCCAATGGCGCCTGGGGCGCGGCGGCCAGCCCGATGGCAGCCGAGGAGGGCGCGGCGCGTCTCGGTCAAGAAGGGCGCGGCGGCCAAGGGCGCAGAGGGCGCGGCGGCCAAGGGCGCAGAGGGCGCGGCGGCCAGCCCGCAGGCAGCCAAGGAGGGCGCGGCGGTAAGCCCGCATGCAGCCAAGGAGGGCGCGGCGCCCGTCGACGCGGGCAAGGGCAGGGGCAGGGGCAGAGGCAGAGGCAGGGGCAAGAAGGCCCAGCATGCCGACGGCGACGGCGGTAGGCTGAACGTCGGCGGCGAGGGCACGGGCAAGGGCAAGAGCAGGGGCAAGGGCAAGTGCAAGGCGGCGGGCAAGGGCGGCGAGGGTTGGCATCATCAGGCCTCTCGCACTGCAACGTAACCTCCTCATCCCTCTCCCCACGATTATTCCAGACTTATGGCATCGAGTCCTCCACTTTAGAACCTTCCCAAGTCTCCGCCGCCCCCTATTCGCCTTTTCAAGCCCTCAACCCTTATCCTCCGCATGTTGCCGTCGCAAGTCCCCCACCTTCTACCCTCAATCCGCCCTCGTCGTTTTCAGCCAACCCGTCCTTGCGAAGGCAGAGGCGGCGGCCGACTCATCGCCCGTCCCAGCGGCGGGCGATTGGAACGAGGGCGACGCAGACACGATGAACGAGGAGCACGGCGACGGCTGGTGCGGCAGCAAGATGGCCGCGGTGCTCCGAGAGATCAAGGAGGCCCGCGAGCTGTGCGGCAAGCACGGCCAATGGAAGGTTGCGGGGGGTCAGCGGGGATGCGGAGGCAGTTGAGGATTGCGACGAGGATCTCATGGGGATGAGGCTGGCGATGAGGAGGATGATGATGACGATGAGGATGGTGATGATGAGGAGGGTGATGAGGACGATGAGGATGGTGATGAGGATGGGGATGGCGATAAGGAGGATGGGGATTAGAGAGATAATGTGAGGGAGGGGCGGAAAGTGAGAGAGAGAGAGAGAGAGAGAGAGTGGAGGAGGTAGATGGGGAGGATGAGGAGGACGGTGATAAGGGATGATGGTCTGATGGGGGTGAGGTGGGTGATGGGGATTCGTATGCAGATGGCGGTGGGGATGCGGCTGGCGGTGAGGTGCCGAGGGTGATGATGAGGATGAGGATGCTGAGGAGGATGATGATGAAATGAGAAGGATGGGATGAGGATGAGGATGAGGATACATATGAGGATGTGATTGGCTGCTGTGCCCTGAGGTTGGCGTCTCGCCGCGCCCGAAGATCAACGGGTGGGAGTGCTTCGTGCGGAACAATGACGGCCAGAAGTGGACGAAGACCAGCAACGCGAAGATCAAGGTGGCAGCGACGCTCAAGGGCACGGTTCTCTACGCGAACCAGTGGATGGTCGAGAGGGCGCAGGCTGAGGGTGCCGCGCTCGCCGAGTTGTTGGCGGCCGCTGGAGGCGATGATGGCAGCGGCGAGGTGGCGGCCGTCAACATCAGCGACGACGATGCGCATCGGGAGGCCGCCAAGGGTGTGACGGGAGGCGCCGACGGCGTGATGACCGACACGATGCCTGACGACGTGAAGGAAGGCGCCGACGGCGCGATGGCCGACGACAAGATGCCTGACGACGTGAAGGAAGGCGCCGACGGCGCGATGGCCGACGACAAGATGCCCGACGACGTGAAGGGAGGCGCCGACGGCGCGGCGGTCGACGACAAGATGGCAGACGGCGCGAAGGAGCACGTCGACGGGCTCTTCGATGACGTGGTGCAGGAGATCGACTGTTTCACCCAGCCCGAGGAGGACGGCTTGCACCCGACCCAGGCGGAGGACGCCACCGCGACCCAGTTCTTCGGCGTGGTCGAGAATGCGGGGTCCGACCAGAAGCGCCGACGCTTGGGCGCCACGTCCGCGGTGCCCGAGTCTGACGGCCCTGGGTTGGCTGACTAGGTAGAGTGGATGAGGTGGAGGATGGGAAATGATGGGTTGGCAGACTAGGTAGAGTGGATGAGACGATGGTTAGGATTACAGTGAGAGGATGGGAAATGATGGACAGAGCACGAGAGCAACTTTTGTTATTCAGTATCGGCGACGGCGGCGCCACTAGATATATGACTCGTAGAGCTTCCCTTAGCAAGTTATTGCTGGAAGCTAAGAGTAATTCCGGCGCGCCCCACAGCTAGTTGGCTCGAAAAATCTCGACTGAACTTTTGACAACTTTTGCTCGGTTGAAAATTTTGTTCTCGAAATTTGAACATTCGTTGGAGCTCTAGTATTTTTTCCCGTGATATTCGATCTTATTCCCGCTCGCCATCTTGATCTCAGTTCGATCGGGTGAATATTACTATCGAAAAGCACTGTGACCGGATTAGCCGTTTTGAGTCATCTTGATGTGCGCTGACGGTTTTCTGAACATAACTCGAGCTTCAGGACAGCTACAGAGCTGGTAAGCACAGCTAATGTATGCAGAATGATCAGGCGCGTTCGCCTGTTGAACCGAGAGGTCTGAACTCGGTCTGCTAGCCGAGCTAGGGTCACAAACCTGTTCGTATTATTCGAGTCATTTTGAGAGAAACGCTTGGTTTTCTGCACTTAACTCGAGCTATAGGATAGCTACAGAGCTGATATTCAGAGGCACCAATTCAGAATCATCAGTTGCGTTTCTTTGTCGACTCCAGAGCTCTGAACTCGGCCTGCTGCCTGATCTAGAATAGCGAAACTATTCGTATCGTTCGAGTCGTTTGCGAAATAATGTCGGTTATCTGGACTTAACTCGGGCTGTAGGGGAGCTGCATGGCTGCTAATCACTGGGATCGATTTGAAGACATGAGGCGCGTCCGCATGTCGAACAGAGAGCTCTGAACTCTGTCTGCTGCCCGAACTAGGTCCGCGAAACTATTCCTATTGTTCGAGTCATTCTGAGAGGTGCTGTCGGGTTTCTGCACTTAATTCGGGCTGTAGGGGGGCTGCAGGGCTGGTAATGAGAGGAGTCGATTTGCAGACATCAGACGCGTCCGTCTGTCGCATTTAGAGGTCAAAAACTATTCACTATAAGTCAGATTGTTGGTAAGTGCTGTCTGTTTTCTCAACTTAAGTCGAGTTAGGAAGCTCTACGAGTCCCCCGGCGGTAACCAAGGTTGACGGTTTACCGCCGGCGCCCAGTACATGGATATATAGGCGCCGTACAAGGGTTGCAGCACTCCGCGACGAGTGCTTGCGTGCGCGCTGAGAGTTTCAAGGCCTGCCGTCGCCTTCGTGTCGCGTGGCTGCAAGCTCGTTCAGGTCAGGCGCAATGCAATGTGCCGAGGGTAGCTTGACGATCACATACAGGCCGCCCGAAGGTAGCGCGAAGATATTCCTCCTCTGGCCCACGCCCGCTCCCCTTTCCCACGCGTGGGTTTTCGGTCACTGGCTGCCGCCCGTCCACCACCCGTCGTCTGGGTGGGCCTGGGTGGGGAGCTGCGCTTGTTCGATGCCCTGGTTTAGGCGCCGATGGGCCTTCGGTGCTGGTGTGCGCCCCAAGTCGGCCCACTCCCGTTTCTGCGGGTTCGGGTTGGGCCCCCCTTCTGAACCGCACATGGCCCGACCAGCCTGGATGCTCAGCAGATACAGCCAATCCGCATAGTAAGGATGCGCGATAAGGATGCAAAGGCCTTTTCGATGCTTTTCGAGCGGGCCGCGGCCAACGAAAGCTGCCAAATATGGGCCGAGAAGGTAAGGATGCACGGGTACCCGTGGGAAGGTTGCCCATCCTTACTATGCGGGTTGATTGCAGGCAACGTCCAATATCGCCTATTCCAAATGGCAGCGCGTTGTGCCCCGCCCCGCATTGCCCCCTCCGCCCCCATTCGACCCTATTTCCTGTTTACCCTGGCTCACCGCCCACCCCTCCGCCGCCCCCCCCAGCCCGCCCTCAGCACATACATCCGCCTCGTCCTCTCTCATTCCCCTCACCCCCTGCAACCCCTTGCACCAATTGTCGTCGGCGCACGTCGTCGCGCAACCAGAGGCATGCGCGGGCACGCAGAGACGAGTGACGACGCGCAGAGACATCAACAAGCATCGGTCGGCAGGTTAAGACATGCAACGACACGCGCAGACGCGCAGCGACATGTATAGGCACGCGAAGCCACCAGCTGACAGCCTTCGGCATCTCCAGACATGCAGCGGCATGCGCAGACACGCCCAAACAAATTCAGGCACTCGGAGACATACACGGATATCGACAGACATGCTCGGACATGCAGCCACATTCGCAGACGTGCGCAGACACACGCAGACACTCGCAGACATACACGGAAATCGACAGACATGTTCGGACATTCAGCGACATTCGCAGACATGCGCAGACACACGCAGACACTCGCAGACATACACGGACATCGACAGACATGTTCGGACATGCAGCGACATTCGCAGACATGCGCAGACACGCAGAGACACACGCAGACATTTGCAGACATCGGCAGACATGTTACGACATGCAGCGACACGCGCAGACATGGGCAGACACACGCAGACACGCGCAGACATCCACGGACACCCACAGACAGCTTCGGACATGCAGCGACATACGCAGACAATCCAAGACACGTGAAGACATTGCCAGGCATCGGCCGACATGTTCGGACATGCAGCGACATGCGCAGACACGCACACACAAGTGCAGACACTCGCAGACATACACGGTCATCGACAAACATTCTCGGACATGTAGCGACATGCGCAAACACGCCCACACACGTGCATACACCCGAAGACCTACACGGACATCGGCCGACGCTTCGGACATGCAGCGACATTCACAGACATGCGCAGACACACAAAGTCGTTCGACACGCGCAGACATGCGCAGGCACACAAAGACACTAGCAGACATTAGCGGGCACCCACATACATCTTCGGACATGCAACGACATCCGAACATGCTCCGCACACATCGACTGACATTCGGAATGCACGGGCGTTGATTCGCAGACACGTGGATACAGCACAACCGCCCGCTCGCCGTGTCGCCCTCCCCTCGT